ATCTTTTATATATATTTTTAACTATATTAAGATGATATTATTTTTATTTCACAGGATGAAGCAAGTGAATGAAATATGTCAATATCATAGGAGGATACTCATTAGATAGTAATTTTCATTAAGTTTGACATATATGTTATGAAATTTGTGGATCTATTGACATCGTATTTTGTTAGATACACTTTATTAATGAATAATGTGATGAATTTTATTGGACTTTTAGGATGAAATTTGATTTTATCTTAGTTGATATTGAATTATATTTAGCTAAGTACTCGTCAAAGTGAATTATATCTAAAAACTACAAATTTAACCATTTTTTAGTGAGAATCAAACTAATATTTTATGTCATTAAAATAAATGAAAAATATATTATACATTTCATTAGATTATTGATTTTATTATAATGATTAAATTATTATTACACTTATGGTGGTATTTTAAAGTAATTCTAAATAAAAAAGTATTTTAATTATTAATTATAAAATTATTAAAAAATAATTTGTAAATAATAATTAAAATTTTGATTTATTGATAAAATAATTAAAAAATAGTAATTAAATAATTTTTGGTGGTTTTTTAAACCTCCAATAAGTTTTAAATAATTATAAAATATTATATATTTTGTAGCGGTTTTTAATTGTTGAAATATAAAATTAATTATAAAAATAACATTTGTAACAATTTCAAATTGCAACAAAATGTTAAATTAAAATGAGAATAATAATGTATTTTATGGCGGTTTTTAAGCTGTTGAAATTTTTGTTTTTTTTTTTGACATAAATACCAGCATTTAAAAAAATTCGTTACAAATCGTTTTTGACATCTATAAATATGACAGTTATATTAATTGTTACAAATTTTATTTGTAGCGGTTTTTAACTTCTAAAATCTACAATTTTAACCGCTATAAATAACATTTTTTTGTAGTGTCATTACAACTATTTATTATTGTTAAAATAAAAAAATATATCTATTAAAAATTATTATTTATTGTGATTATTATTATTATAATAAATATAGATCAATTAATATATATATATATATATATTATGAAATTAATAATAATAATTATTATATACTATTATAATTAAAATATATATAGATATAATATGAATTAATAACAATAATTATTATTATATATTATTATTATTATTATTATTATTATTATGTATATATATATATATATATATATATATATAAAAACTAAAAAAATATTATTTATCTCTTCGTATAAGAAGAAGAGATAAGTGTTAAAATGAAAATAATAATATAATAATAAAAGGGATAATAATCATTAATGAGAGAGAAAAAAATAGAAATGTTACTGTATAAAGGGTAGGGTGAGGTGAAAAAAAAGGTAAGAAAGGGAGAAAAAGAAGAGAGAGAGGGAGAGAAGAGAAAGAGAGAGAAAAAAAAACAATCTAATCATAAATTTTGGTGTATGATTTACAGGGAGATAGAAGAAGAGATTGTTATCATTTTATATATTTTATTTTAATTATGGTTGTATAGTGAGGTTTCTTAACCTTATTTTATTTATTCTGTTACTCATTTATCTTCTGTTACTTACTTATTGTTTTATGTTTATTTATTTATCTTTAGTCCTGGTCCTATTTTAATTATCTTAAATTACGTAATATATTTTGTGTTTATTTATTTATCTTGAGTCTTGCACTAATCTTATTTTACTTATCTTGAATTATACATTGATCTTTGGTTATTAATTCATATTTATATTGTTTAATTATTTTTAAATAATAATATCTATTTATAAATATTTGATGGTATTGTAGATGAAGGTTGGACCTTGGGGATTAAAATAAGTAGATATCACTTGAGAGAGTGATTAAAATTTGGTTTATTTATCCCGACTAATCACTACAAATTTAATTCAAATATTCATAATATGGAATATGTTGAAGAAGTTAAAAAGTATATTTTATATATTATTATAAGATTGTATTACTTTATATGATAATTGTTTTCACTCCCTATTGTGATTCATCGTGCATGTTATATTTAAATACCAACTTAAGTAGATGGAGACACCAAATATCTCAAATCCTTTTTCTGCAAAAACCATCGTGTTCTTTCCAAGAATTATCAGTCTTGACATTTGCATTTGACATGAGAACTTCCATCATATTAGACAGCACCAATAATAGTGGTTACATTCTACATATCTCCTACCATGCACAAAAATCCCTTAATCAGTTTGTTTCTACCGGTAATATAAATATTTGTATAATTGTAATAAGAATAGAAGAAATAAAAAATAAAACAAATAAAATTTCTTCTTTTATATATCTTGAAAAAAAAATAGTAATATAAATTACTTTTATATATAAATTACCTGTTACCCTTACAAAAAAATTGTCACATTTTAAGTTTCAACTTATTATCCACTAGATTATGAATAGGCTTGGAGTGTATTATTTAATGTCTTCAAATGAATTAATAAATTGGCAACCAGTCTAACTTGACCTAACCTTACGAGTCGAGTAAAAAAAAAATTGATGATCAATCTGATCTATATTTTAAATTAAGTCAAAAATTTTAGTTTATCTTGACCCTGTGTTAGGTCGAACGACTAACTGAACAAGTTTGGCTTAATTGAATTTTAAAAATATATATTAACATATCTATATAAAATCAATTAATCAAAAAATATTTAAATAAAAATAAATTTTAAAAATTTAAATTTTATCAATGAAATTAATTTTCATTTAAGATATAATAATTTAATATATAAATAAGATAATGCATCTATTTTATCTCAAAATAAAAATTAAAAACTTATTCTTTATTATCATTATTTAGTTGTAGTAATTTATTAATTTATAATAGTAATTAATTTTAATCATTAAATTTGGAAATAAATTATTATTAGATATCTATATTCTAATATTTATTCTTAGAATAAATGAATATTTGTCAAATTAATTTATAATACATATATACTTTTTTATTAAAATAATATTATTTTTATTTTAAAAATAATGATTATTCTATAAAATAAGTCAGCTCATAAACCTTTGGACTATCCTGATTTAAGCTAATATAAGTCAGGGACCAAACTAAAATAGATTTTATTCAATTTATACCATAAATATTTTATTCTAACCTAATCTATTTATCAAGTCTTTCAGCTTGATCAGTTAAGCCATAAATAATATAAATATTTTAACAATAAATACATTCATTGTTCAAAAGTATAATTGGTTATTAAGAATGAATATAAGGTGGCAGCTTGACGTGATCATTGATAGGAAAAATTCAATTCAAGAAGATATAGGAAGAATATTAACAAAGTAGTGGAGATGAAGATAAAGAAAAAGACATTTTTAAGATATAATAAATGAGAAAATAGTTTTTTAATAAACATTTATCTGACTACTTGGATAACTTAGTTATTTCTTAGTTAAGTTCTTCATTATTTTGGATAAAATGATGGAAAAAGAGTGTTTAGTCTTTTTTTTTTTTAATTTGGGGCGGAATTAGAAATTTCAAATGAGAAAACAAACATATAAAAAATAATTATGATATAAAAATATATATTATATAAAATGCTTAACAAGTTTAACGTTATTAATTAAATTTAAATTTTAAAAAATAAGTTTTTTTTTAAATAATGAGTCTATAATTTTTTTAGACATTTTTAAAATTTAACTTGAATTTTTTATTTATTTTAATATTAAAATAAAATATCATAAAATATTATAATAACTAACTAATTAATAACAAATATTAAAAAGAAAAACTTATAAGTTTAATACTATACTGTTTTGAAAATACGGGATTGGTATTATGTTACTTTTAAATAAGCATATTTTAATTAAACTGAAAAATATTAAAACAGAATGAAAAAATTGACTTGATTTTTTTTAATCGATTTTAGTAAAAAAAAAATTTATGATTAAATTTTTTTAATATAATTTTTTATAATAATACTAATAATATATAATAGGTGATTTTACAATTAAAATAAAAAAATGATTGGTTGTTTGTGTAGAAGCATCTTTATTCTTATAAATCTATAATTTACAATGAAATAAAAAAAATGAGGTTATAAATAGATGATTCAAAGGTGTTAAGAAGACCTACAGTAAAAATGAATCTATAAATCACTTGTTTGTGAATCATGTGTCTTGTCAATTGTCAAAGTGATTGATCCCTTGGTCAATTATCTTATCAACGGAATCAATGGACATCTCTTTACCATATAAAGTCAATATTGTAATAAAGAATTAAGTTCTGGAGTCGATCATCGTTGTACAATATCAATCACTGGACCTCGGATCCAAAAATCTACCCTTTCTTTCAAATACTAAGCATAAAAGACCCAAAGGTTTAGAGTTGTCACTCCCGTCCAATTTAACTATGTGTCCATTTACCTTTAAACTGAAAAAACTGTTTTTGCTACTTTGTGTTATCCTTCTAATATATCTACTTTTATTTTAGTCCCTATAAGTATAACGTAGATCATTTGTTTTAAATTCTATAAAATATTTAGCAAATAAATTGATTCTGAATAGAATGTTATAGAACTAAAACGGAAAAATGAATGTATTAAAAGGACTAAAACAAAACCAAAAAAATTATACGAATAAAAAACATTTGAAGACCAAATATAAAATATAACCATAATTGAAACACACATTTAAACACCGAAAACCACCCACTGAATGATTAATAACATTCCAAAATAAACAATCTACATAAGAAACGGGATTTGTATCCTCCCTGCAGTTTAGAGAATTCAAAATTTCAAATACAGAAACTGACTATGCAAACTGAACTTTTGCATCAAGTTTCACTCATTCTGCCGTGTGTAAATAAATTTGACCATCTATTCCGAGCCCCATAATTTACATATTTCTAAAAATGGTAATTCTAACCTCAAAATGGAAAATTTACTTGGAATGACCTTCATAACTACTACATAATTCTAATGGAGAGGTATTGTTGGATCAATTGATGGAAATACAAAATAACTACTATGTGGTCTCACTGGATGGTTCCTCCGCACTGCTGCTGTGAACCAACTGATCAAAACAAACAGTCATATAATATGCAGATAATTAGCTATAACTTTAGAAGAGAAGGTTTAAGAAGGCAACACAGATAGAACATATGTTTACCAAGGATCCCAGTTGCTCATACGCTTCCATCACCTTTGGATCTTCCTCATCTTCATAACCGATTTGTACTATTCTAGGTCCATTTACAGACCAAAAGGCTCTCCGACCTGCATCCTACATAACAACGGAAGCTTACAGAAAAATTTGGTGCATCGAGAAAAAATATATCTCGCATCCCATAATAAAAGTACATGAAAACTAGACCAGATGACAAGAAAGTCAAAGCCATACAATACTTAACAAGGTAAATAGCCTATGAAAAAACGAATTAATAAAGTCATAATTGTAGGATATCATATTGACACGATTTACAGAAAGCATCTTAATCAAGTTGTATTAATCAAACGAAACACGTATTGATAGAAATTGCAAAAAGAAAATTGAGATCTGAAACTTAAACTTGTTACACATATTATTACATTACTTTGGTCAGAAGACTCAACTTGTCACATACATGTTTACTAAGCTAACATTAAGATCAAATCTTTGCTCTCCTAATCCAAACTCAAATCAATAATAACAAGGAAAAATCTATTTTGACAACTGCATTTTGTCAAACATCTTCCCTACAACTGATTTTAATATTATAATAATAATTTTAAATTATTTTTAATTTTATCTAATACTTTTATTATTAGTATTATTATATTAATAAAATGAGTTGTGTGGCATATGTATGTTTTGAATTGATTGTGCAAATATCAGGACTCTAATATAATGTACAGTGGGAATATTTAAATTCCTACCATATATCCCAACACCCTTAGGCATGGTTAAGTCATCATATAAACTAACTGTGGGTGCAAATGAAGCACCCCGTCTTGCTAATGATAAAAGTCATCATCTCCCACAATCATCCAAGGGATAAGGGGAGAAAGAGAAGTTCTTATGATAGACCTATAATATGACTATAAAGTAGATTTGACAGAATTCTGGATGTGTAATAGATTCATAAACCACTTAATATAATGGAAGACAGAAAAATGTAACTTTTCTGCTAACATTGCTAGAGATGCTGTGTTATACTTTTCAGTGTCGATAATGCGCTTGCTAGGGTTCAAAACACATTTCTCTCCAAATCTAGTCTAATCTAAAATGTAACACAGAGAAATAAAAAAATAAAAATTAAGGGAACAAAATATACAAATTTACCTGCAATATGATCAAGTATATGGCTTCCAAGACCTGAATACGAATTTCTGGATCAATAACCGGTTCACGCTCAATCGAGAGTGCAGTCCCAAGTTCAAGTGGCATTTTCGATCTGTCTTGCTCACTGTAAATCTGCGTAAAAATCAATGAATCAATAAAATTGACACAAAACAAATTTCAATACTCAAGAAGAATACATTATGAAGCTTAAAGGATATCATATCATATTAATATGATCTGATAACTTTAAGATCCAAGCACAATAAAATAAATACAAGAAATTTAAAAAATTGAACCTATGTTTGCCTTTCATAATGAGGACTAACTAATAGAGACATATACACATCAGAGAAGTTCCTGTTGATGCAATTATAGACATCAGGCAAACTACATCTGTTACTAAGTTGAAAATAGTTTATCTTCACTTTGTCAAGTAGTTAAAAGTTAAATGGGCAAGGTTGGACGAAATATCATCCTCAATATGCAGAAGAATGCTCTGAGCTCAGAAAAGGTACAGTATGTAACCTTGTTGCCAGCTACGGGAAGAAGTAATGCAGGCCAAAGAAACTCTGATATCAAAAGCATATTTTGCAGCTGATTCTCAGCTTCAAAACAACAGTTGCGAATAGTTCCAGAGACCTGCAAGCAATCAAATATTGCAACAATTGTCAGATGAACGAAGTTACATGCATTAAAATTTGAATAGAAAAGAGACGCCCATGTTGGCTTAGCCATTAGATATAGTAACTGAAAACAAACACAATCAATGATACTGTACCATAATCACAAACAATTCCATCGACTGAAAAATCAACAAGAACCTAACAATAGCAACAATTAGTTTAAAGGATACTGTTTTAGGACTAAATATTTTTATTTATTAATTAATACCAAGTTTAAAAGAAGCACTAGTCCATGCACCAGTAATGACAGCTTAACTGAGTATCAGCCCATCAGTAAAGAACTCTTGAGGATGCAACTAAATCATCCATTGAGGCATTGACCACTTCTTTCAAAAGTAGCTTAAAAATCACATTAAATTGATTTAAATTAAAGTACTTCCCAATTGAATGAAACATAAAACTATTAAAACATTATCACCCAAGGCTGGGAAACAGAAATTATTTTAAGTGTATTTATTGCACGTACCCCTTTCTTTCTCAATGAACTGTTTGAATCAAACTGTCTGATTATCTGCTTTAAGAGACCCCGTTTTGGGTCAAGTAGAAGCTTCCTCCCTTCCCGATGCTTCGAGATGTTAACAAGTATTGAACCAACATGTTCAAAAGCATCATCTGGTAAAAAAAACAACACTTCCACTGTATCAAATTATACAAGGTTAAGTCATTCACACAATAATATTCTTGAAAAGAAAACTCTATACTCTTCGAATGAGTGAATCTACATTGGTGACAGACTACATCAACAATCTAAATACATCGTTTACCCAACTTTCAACGGTAAATGTTAACATAGTTGAAAATGGGCATGCAGAACTTCTACTTTAAAGCTTACCAAATTCATATGATTAAATCGCTATCAATATGATGAATAATAATATTGATAGACATTCACACTTCGAGGATATTGTTAGAACTATTCTTTGAAGAAGAATCCAGGAGAAAAAGTAAGGTGAAAAATCTAAACCAGGCAAAGACTTTGACGATGATGAGAGGTAGATCAACGGAATATAACTCTACTGGGAGTCAAAATCATGGTGTATCAAATCTTCGAGGAAGGAATAATCTCATTTCCTACCACTATGGCAAGGGAGGGCATGTTGTTGGCTTAGAATAACATAGATTGAAGTTTGCTAGAGTGACTATCGGGTGGAAACACATATTGGACTTGGTTTCTTTTGATGTTTTGGAATCGCTGATATTATCCCTAAGAAGGGCCAAATATTTTGTATTAATAATGATGATTACTTCAGGAGATTATGGGTATACTGCATCAAAAAAAGTTTGTGTTTTCAAAGTTCAGAAAGGGTAGATTCTTGGACTATGCTAACAATGTGAAGGGGTATTTCATGTGGGATCCCACTACCCACAATGTTATTGTTAGCGGAAATATAAATATTGTTTTTTTTCAAGGTGAATTTAAAGAAAGGATTGATATGATCTAACCAGAAGACTTAAAAATAAAAGAAACTTAGCTTACAGATTAACCAAATCTTTATATGGTTTAAACTAGGTGTCCAAGTGTTAGTACAAAAGATTTGATTCTTCATGATTAACCTTAATTACAACATATTAAGTCCAGATTATTGTACCTATTACAATAGATTTGATGGGAATAATTTTATTATTTTATCATTGTATGTGGATGACATGTTTGATGGTAGGCTCCAAGAAAGTTTGGATCCAGGTTTTGAAGGCACACTTGGCTAGGGAGTTTGATATGAAGGAATTTGGGACCAACAAACAAGATTTTAGGGATACAAATTCACTGAGACATTAAAGATAAGAAGGTTTGATTTTATCAGAAGAATTACTTACTAAAGGTCTTGCGTTACTTCAACATACAAGGGTGTAAGTCAATTTATACCCTACTTTCTATTAAGTTATCCTCAAGTATGTCTCCTAGCAATGAAGTAGAAAGGATAAAAATGTCTCGAGTACTATAAGCATCGACAGTGAGAAATCTTATGGATACCATGATCAGAGAAGACGACATTGCACAAGTAGTGAGAGCGGTTAATGGATTCATGACAAATCATAGGAGAGAACATGAGTGTTATTAAAAGGATCCTTATCAAAGGAACCTTGGATAGTACATTATGTTTCAAAGGACTAAAACTAGTTAGCAGAGATTACATTTGTTTAGTTTTTGCAATGTGATCTTGACGTGTTTATCCTTGTAGGAGAAACAGTAAGTTACTTATAAGATGTTATAGTTTTGTCTAATATAGAAATTAAGCACATGATAGTCACCTTGCACATTACAAGGAATTTTGACTTGTATTCTAGGACACATCAAGAAGAACCTAGTAGTGTTATCAATCGGTTAGCAATGACAAGTTTACATGAAGTCGATCCTCCTGAAGGTCTATTGGGAAAACTAGCAACATGGAAGGCAATAATAATGTGCAATGAAGATTTGATTAATTTAATCAAAATCTCAAGTGGGAGAATATGAGAAGAGAAGTCTCATATCACGAAAATTATAAATTATATGTTGATGTTTATTTTTTCTATTATAAAAGGAATACAATATTTACCTTGTAAATCACTCCAAATCTCTTTTTTCTCCCTTCTACTAGTGGATTGCATACTAGTTGAGTTCCCTTATTTCTTAAAAAGGATATTATTATTTTCCCTTTAGATTTAAAGAAGGTATTGTAATTTCTTCTGATAGTAAAATTGTATTATTGTTTATTGTCGATTTTGTATTTATCTTTTATTTTAGTTGTGAGTTATTATGCAATTACTCTGATTCCCAACAATTTTATGTGTCTTATACTCATTATCTAGTTATTTGTGAAGAAACCATATCTTTGAATTATAAGTCCCCAATATAAGCGACTCACCTCAGCCTATAAGGAAAACTGTTCAGAATTCAATAACACGACACAAGATCCAATGAGCTAAAATTAAATATCTATAGACAAACAAGGTATGAAAAACTTCTCACATAAAACATTAAGCATAATAATCATCCTAAGTTGAGAGGGACTCACCGTCACTCTCATGGGTGGTTCTACAAAACGATCTAACAAGCTTCATAACATACAAACCATGCACCTTCTCATCTTCAGTCTGTCAATCACAAGAAAATCACCGATTAACAACACAATACAACGCTTCAATTCTTGTTCTGGTAAATTTCATTATAAATATTTATAGGAGAAAACATGAAAAGGTAAAATAAATTGAACTCCTCTCATAATCTAAAATCAATTTTATGCCCTCCAAATTTTAGAGAAGTCAGATGAGAGAACTTCTATAAAAGTTAAAATGCATAACTTGAATTTCACTGATGGTCTTTCTTTTTTTCTACTGTGTAATCAGAATAAGTTTATCCAAACACAACCCAAGATTAAAAAAAAAAAAACTACAATTTAATTCATCTATCCCTAATGTACAATTCACTTCGCTCCATCTTTCAAGACTTCAAATGCTCATAGCTTTGTACGATGATCATTTACATGTATTTATAATACCGACAAAGCTAATGATGAAAAGTCTGAAACATGAACAAATTTTCCCACTTAAAGATAAATAAAAAAGCATGGGCACCTGAAGCACGGCAGCGACACCAGCATCGAGTTGAGTGAGGTTGACCAAAAGCATGACAAGCAATTGCGCAATGCCGCACTCCGGCTTGTACATAACATCCATCGTCGTTCTGACCAATCCCAATCGAACCATAGCTTCGGCGAGACTCGAATTCTGCGACAAATTCACCAGGGCCTCCGCCGCAGCCTCCGAAACCTCCTGAAACGGCATGCTGTTTTTCAGTAACGAGAAACAAACCTAGCTAGCACAAGTAACATAGTGCAGGCGCGCTTGTGTTACCTTGGGGAGCGTTAAGAGGCGAGACAACGCAGGTAAAAGGGCGTTTGAGTAATTTTCGAGGGACTGCAAGCCCTCTACGGAACCGGTTAAGCCGCGAACAATGTCGACGGCGGCTTTTGTGATCTGAAAGGAGAAACCGTAACGCCGCCGCACGTGAGAAAGGGTAAACACGAGTTTGGAAAGAAAGAGTGAAGTGAAAAAGTGGTGTTAGAGAGTTTACCTGTGGAGAGGGAGAAGAAAGAAAGGAGACGAGTTCTTCCATCTCCGTCGCCATTGTTCGCTTCTCTGCCCTGCTTTGCTGCTGTGTCGCCGCCGCCTTTGTTACCACCAGGGCATTCACTTCTAATTGTTCTTTTGTTAAGCTTTAATATCTTTTTTTTCTTTTTTTTATCATGTAATTATTATTTGTTTAATTATTTAATTTAATCCCACCATATCTTTTTGGAAATCTTTAATTAAATGGACACATCTAGTGATCTATCAACGATAATAAGTGAAAAGGTTAAAAGGCCGTTTTAGTTTTTTCTATATTTAAAAACATTTTTTTCAAAAATAAATTATTTAATATTGTTAATTTTAAAATTATTTTAAAATTAACATCATCAATAAAAATTATTACTTATTTTTTTAATTATTTTATAACAAAATAAATTATATAAAATAATGATAAGAAAAAAATATATATTATTTACGAAAATAAAAAATTAATTTCTTTATTTTTATAAACTTAAAAGTAAAAATATTTTTTTAAAATTTTTAACAAAATTATCATCAAATTTTTTTTAAAACCAAAAAATTGAAAATTAATTTTAAAAATAATAAATAATATAATTTTAGTTTTCATATTTTTAGATGACCAAAATTTTAATCCTTCAATCCTATTAAGATAAAATGAGACTTTTATATCAATTTACATCTTAATATCTCTACATAATAAAAAAAACTAAAAAATAATAATTAAGAGTATATATATTATTATTTTTTCAAAATAATTTTAAAACATCATTCTTATAATTTACCTTATATTTTTATTTAATTTTTTATACTGATCAACACATTTATATAAATTTGTATTTGCAATATATATATATATATATATATATATATATGTATATATGTATATATATATATATATATATATAAGGAATTAATATTTTAACAAGTGGATATTTTTAATAAAATAAACATAATAAACCTAATTTATTTAATGTATATAAAAATATTAAATATCTAATAAAATAAATTATTTATAAAAATACATAAAAAATAGTTTTTAATAGTTTTTTAGATGAATAACATTAAATATTTTGAAGTTGTTATGTTGTGGAATGTATTCTTTCTTGTAAGTATATTGTATTAAAAATAGGATAAAGATCAATAGATATATTATTAGTTGAAACATTATTACATTCGATATCATATTTGAAATTTGAAATTTACAAAGTATATAACTCATATTTAATAATAAAACGTATGATAATTCAAATATTATATTTTTTTAATGGTTCACACAACAATAATATCTTAATACACGTATAATTAAAAATTGGGATTAGAGCACTCTAAAAGATCCTTTCTACACATTTTCTTATTGATTATTATCTTTGGTACAAAAAAATTTGTTTTCTCTCCTTGAGGTATTGGGTGACATTCAGAAGTGTAATCTACTCTAGATAAATATCTTATGTTAGATATATACCTCATGATATATTGAGTTTTATTCATTCGGCTGCATATAAAAAAAACATCATTAAACACATTTCACACATCATGATATATTGAGTTTTATTCATTCGGCTGCATATAAAAAGAAAAACATCATTAAACACATTTAATGTATTTAACACATTAATGTAATTATTTGAACCTATTCCTAAAAAAAGAGATATCAAATTTGTAAGTCTTATAATGTTACAAATTCAAGTATTATTATAGGTTTTCTTTGATTATTTTGACAAAATTCTATAATTGAAGAAGTGTATTTTTACAATGATGAAAGATCCCTTCTTTCTAAATTATATCAACCCTCGTATGGAAATATTTATTGTGATGACCAAAGACTTCTAAAATTAGATGAAATACATGTGTTTGCATTTTAAACTTTCGTCCAAATTGAGCACCATTATAAGTCAACTTGTTAAAGAAGTAGTAAATGAACAATTGATTATGTCCTATTCCACAACATTGTTCTACTATCGTTCTTTTTCTCTTTATACGAATATTATTACTAAGTTGTTATTTTATGTATTATATTCTCTTTATTGCTTCACTGATTTATTTTTTAAGTTTCTCATCTATGACTTATATATGTAAAAGTATTATTTCTATGTTTGAATCCAGAAAATTGAAGTATAAGAATATGAGAGAATAAGATGAAGCTTTGGATTAAAAAAATATTTAAAACAAGTCAAGGCTAAATACAATCATAAAAGTTATGATGTTATAACTATTCAAATAAGTACTTAGAAGTGACCAATAAAAATCTTAATCTAAATTATCAATAATATTAATATATTTGAATCTACGTTGTTAAGATTTATATCAAATTAACTAATTCTTCTTGTCCACATGTTAGAATCTATATGAATAATTTTAGCTTCAAGAATATCATCAACTAAATTTAAAACTTTATAAACTCACTTAACTTTCTTGTCTTAGCCCTAATTATAATTTTGATCTAATATACATAAATTGCTTGTAGTTATAATTATGGTTTGGGATTGGTCAAACTAGTTATTTAATTTATCTAATTACTAACATTTGTCATCCTGGGTGTTTGTGGTAAGGTAAGTTAATACTTATTTAGCTTAGTTTACAAGTATTTTTTGTGACAACTTTACTATTCATATCTACATGTACCAAACATTGGTTCTTAATAATTGTTGTTGCATTGTTCATAGTATCTCTAAAGTATTTATTTGTTTTTTTCATTTATGTTTTCTTTTATTGAAGGTGGTCACATGCAATAACAATCCACGAGTTTTACCTATTGGTGGGTAAATTCTAGGATGATAACATGTTTCATACATATATTTTTCTATAATAGTTTGAAATGTAATGTTCAAAGAGATTGATGTGCCTCATGATGAAAATACTTTTGAGCACAATATGCTTATAACTTTCCTTAAATTAAGAGTTGGTTGATTGAGAACTCGTCTCCCTAAATTTTGATTTCATACTAATTTTTTAGGATTTAGGGTTTCATACTAATATTTGCATTTATAAAACACGAGTTTACAAACACAAATACCTAGTGAACCAATATTTAGTTGTTGCATATTTCTAGTCCAATCTATATATGTATGAAATCATTTCTTATTATTTGAGTCATTCACCAATAATCCTTTTCAAATCATTTTCAAATCAGTCCCTTTTTTTAATAGGACGAGAATATATCAATTATTTCCTTTTTGTTTTGGACTATCACATTTTCACCTTTAAAATTTTATAGAATTTGTAAATGATATTGTTTTGTAAATCCTTTCTGCTAGAGGTATAAACGAAGTTTAATGCCTCATCAATATTTTTTTACTACATTTTAATTAGGATAACAAAAAATAAATCTACTTAAATAATGTTACGATAATGAAAATATTTTTTTTAAAGATTAAATATTAAAACAATTTTCTAAAAGATAAAAATGATTTTTTTTTCCTTATTGAACGAGTTTTGACATAAAATTTTGTATCTTCCGATAGCTTTTAATAAGATGTCGGAGACAACATACTAAATTTCTAGCACTTTCTTTCTATAATTTATTTCAAAGTTCATTAACTTTCAATTACACACATGTAAAATATACCTATTATTGGCAACTCAAATAGTATTACTTTATTCGTTTAATTTGTTTAGAAAATGGCAAACCACAATAATGCTGTGGAACTGGTTTCAACGTGGTCTGAAAGTGAATTAGGGCAGGGATACCTACAATGTAGCCATACTCAAGTATTTCAATCATGATTAAAAAAATATATCAATTAATAATTCTTAGCTATGGTCGATTAATACCCATGCGGAACGCAATGTGACCAAAACGAAAACAGAAGACACAGAATTGGAAAAAGCATCATCTTATTCCAAGCACATGCCATAGTTCAGACATAGATAGAAAGAATCACCGACTCGTCCACGAAAAACGCTGTGTTACACTGTCGGTGTCGGAAGCTCTGAAAAAAACACAAAGTGCAAATAAACGATAAATGGAAACTTTGCAATAACCAAAGTGCGGATCGTGATGTTTGATTTGGCTGTGCATCACAAGCCCACTTGCCTTCATGTTCCGGCCGTGCATCACCCTTAATAGATCCTCAGCGTCACCCAATTATTTCGACCCACCCATGTTGATACTCCATTTTCGATTGGTCGAAGGATCCGTTTTCCGTGACTGTCCCACTGTTTGAATTTTGTTCGTCCCAGAAAGATCTCATCTTGGGAAGATTTTCTATGTTCTACATTGTTAATTTGGTTAATCCCTGTAAGTTGTGGCATTCCCATGTTTCCATTTCTCCTTTAGAGCTTGAATTTCCTTTTTTTTTTTTTCCTTCCATCATTGTGTTTATCTCCCTCTTTGGGAGGGAATTGATGTACATTTATTTGTTTAGTTTTAGGATAAGATTCTTGTTTTTTGGGATATTTAAAATTTCAATGTATAATCAATTGTTGGTGCAGGGTTATGTATTCCAAAATAAATGGGAATTTTTAGGTAGTGATAGCATCACTTTTGTTCTTAGATTTGATTTTGTTATAAGCTAGTGACATTTTAAGTGAATGCTTCCCTCTCATACCAGCTGGTTGAAGTGGCTAGAAGAATGGCTGAGAAAGTTTTAGCTTGAGCCTATCATGTTTGGTTTATATGATCACTCATTTTAAAAGTGATTTCATAAACAGCATCTTTGATGCATGTATTAACATGTAAGTCTAACTATTTAAGCATACGCGAATATGTATTGTATCATGTATGATTTTAGTTAAGATTTTCAGTTGATGACATGGGTGATTTGGGGTCTGCTAGTTTCCATTTTGGTGTGACTTATGATATACTTCTGCAGATGAACTGGTCTATGCCTGAATTTTGGGACGCGCTTTGGAATGGCTCTGTATAGAACCAATGGTGAATTGTTGATCGAGAGAAGAAGCATCATTGATGAAGTTTTCAATTCTTTTGGAAAGAGCGATCATGGCTCTAGAGTTTTACGTCGTGGGCGAAGGTTTGGTCGGATTACCAAGCATAAGCTTGCGCGCTGGATTTTCTTTCTCACTGCACTCATTTCGATACTTTTAACAGTCTATGGTTTGAAAATGTTTCTTCAAGGTAAGGACAGAGACATGTGTTTTTCTTTGATATTTGTATGGTTATATTCAAATAGTTTCCCACTGTCCATCATGTATCAGACAAATCTATCTTGCTGATTTTTCACTTTTTGTATTTCTTGACAATGGTTTCATAACAGCTAAAATGGAATCCAAGTTCTCAATAATACCTCTGAATCTGCAAGAAGAACGTAACCCACTAGATAAAATTGTTCTATCTGATGATGGAAAGACGTCTAAAGAAAATATTGTGGCATCTGCTGTTGTAAATATGCCTAAACCCAAGCGGCAAAAGCGTAAGACTGGTTGCCCTGATCTCATTTATCTTTAAAATTATGTTTTTTTGAATTTAAAGTTAAATTTCACTTCCAGTTCTTTGCTTCATCCCTTCCCATGTTTCTAAATGAAGCTTTGTTGAGAAACCCCTTTTAGAAAAATCAAGAGTGAAACGATAGTTCAGAAACATCCAAACCAAATGGCTTTTGGAGTGAAATCAAGACCAAGACAAGTTGTCACACGGATAGTATTTGAATTTGGTCAATTAAATCAGCATTTTTAATTATCTATAGGAACTATTTTAATATATATGTTCCTCATTAAGCTGACTCTAGTATTTACTAAATTCTTTGTCTCCAATCCTTGAAATCAATCCTTCAGATTTTCCTTGTGAAGTTGGATTTCTGGAATCAGTAGAAGGCCTTGTTGAACCCAAAAGTTATATGAACTCCACATGGTTTTCACTAGAGTATGTTGACCATGAAGAAAGAACATCCAAAAATGATTTATCTGAACCCCGATTTGGAGGACACCAGACACTAGAGGAACGAGAAAATTCATTTTATGCAAAAAACCAGACACTTCGTTGTGGTTTTGTCAAAGGGCCTCCAGGACATCCGAGCACTGGATTTGATATAAATGTAAAAGATAAGGCATATATGTACAAATGTAAGGTTGCAGTTTCTTCTTGCATTTTTGGAAGTTCTGATTTCCTCAGAAGGCCTACAAGTAGACTGGTAATTCTACAAATTCTTTTAAAATATTAATTTGATGTTGTGTACATTATCCATTAGAAAAATAAAAATTTAAGGTTTTCTTTGATCAACATGCCAATATGAAAGCAAAAAATCAATTTGTTACTCTAATAACTTGATGAAAGTTTTAATTATTGATCTAGAAAAGTAATATGTGTGTCAAAGATATTGAATCAGAATCAGATCATCTATGTTACATATGTTTTGTTATTCGCCCTCCCCCTCTCCTATGATTTGAAAAATAGTAATTAGCAATGAAACAAAACAATATAATAATAATGAAACTAATAGTAGAGAGAAACTTGTAGAATGGACAGACTTTGATCTCAAATGAGAAAGTTCATTCCTCAAATTTTCCATTTGATATGTCAAACCTTTTGTGATTGGGTCAATTTGATTTTCTTAAAACATTGCTGTTGTTCATGGTGATAATGGATCATGTATTAGTTTATAAAGTGTTATTAATATGGTTTTTCCTTCAAATTAATATTTCTACTATATTTGCTGTTTTGAACACATTTGCTATAGAACCCTGAAACTTAATCATCATCCTGAGTTATGTGATTATAATATTTCATTGATAGATTACTCATTTATGCATTCTGTCTTTGATTTATGAAGTATATGTGGAGATTGTTCTATATGTTTCTGTGCTGCAATGCAGATCAGTCAATATTCAAAGGACAATGTTTGTTTTGTTATGTTCTTGGATGATCAAACACTATCCAAACTTTCATCAGAAGGAAACAGTCCTGATGAGAGAGGGTACATTGGCTTGTGGAAAATAGTTGTTGTCAAAAACTTGCCATATGAAGACATGCGGAGAACTGGCAAGGTGCCGAAATTTTTATCACATCGCCTCTTCCCAAATTCTAGGTAGTTCTACCAATCTTTTCAAGCATCCAACTTTTCTAGCTTTCTATTCCTCAATTTCATGTTGTTTAAAAATCATGCCTTGGTAGGTATTCAATTTGGCTTGACAGCAAGACGCGACTCAACTCTGACCCTATGCTGATTATTGAATATTTTTTGTGGCGAAGGAAGGCAGAATATGCCATCTCAAATCACTATGATCGTCATAATGTTTGGGAGGAGGTACTCCAAAATAAGCGCTTAAATAAATACAACCATACGGCAATTGATGAACAGTTTAATTTTTACCTGTCTGATGGTCTTCCCAAGGATGACCCATCAAAGTCAAACGATCCTCTTCCGAGTTGTGAGATCCTTTTCATCTTTGTTCATTGTGGAATACCTATTGGGTCTCCTTATGCATAATAAGATTCCAATTGTTGAGCCTTTCACCTTGCAGATGTTCCGGAAGGTTCCTTCATAATAAGGGCACATACACCAATGTCAAATTTATTTTCATGTCTTTGGTTCAATGAAGTTGATCGATTTACATCTCGTGATCAACTAAGTTTTGCCTATACTTATTTGAAACTCAGGAGAATGAATCCAGAGAGACCATTTCAGCTATATATGTTCAAGGTGAATTTTTACACATTTACACACACACACACACACTCAGTTCATTGTCATATAAAGTAAGGGTTATTTGTATGAAAATTTATAAAAAGTGTTTACTGCATAAAACTTCATGATTCTTTTAATTTTGAGCCTTTGCAAGTCACATAGGTTATTGCTGTTTCGCATACCTAATGGCCATATTGTTCTATATGTTAATTTAGGAACACATTCTTCCTCTTCTTTCCTCCCACTGAGTAACAAAAAGAGTGGAATACTTTTCTTTTTTCTTTTTTTTCTTTTGTAAAATAGCTAAAAGTTTTTGCTTTATATCGTTCCTTCAAAGGCATTCATGTAGTACCTATCTATGCAGGATTGTGAACGCAGGGCATTAGTGAAGCTATTCCGGCACAGGTCACTTCCATCTGTACTATAGAGACTGCTTGATCAGTTCCGGATCTTTTAAGGTGCCTTTTGTTGCCACATGATCATGTACTGTTCATTTTGATTGTTTTGAGTGTCATCATAAGAATATGATTCTATTATTCTTTATACAATAACTGTCTTATCTGATGAATTAGCTCAATCAAGTAAATAAGACTTGCAGAACTATCTAATCAATTTTGTAATGAGAGAATTCATGACATTTGAAATTGTATGATTGTATCTGTTGCTTGAAATATGGAACTTGAAGAAACCCTCGATCCCTTTATATATCAATTTTGACTTGCATAGGATGAAAGTGGGGAAACTAGTATTGAACAAGTTCAAAAAATTTTGGGGGAGAAATCATCTTATGACGCTTGATACAATAAATTTGAGAAATGGTTGAAAATGTTATGACCCTTTTTTCATTTTCCACAACTCTTGATCTTCTTTCTTATCCAAGCTCCCTAACAAGACATGTGATATGTGAAGGGATGCACACTACACTAAGGGCACAGGTCATCATATTTGACCTCCCTTCCAGCTTGGCTAGCCTGACAAGACATGTGAAATGTTTTAAGCTGGACCAAGGAGAGGTAAACTCATTACTCGCCGCATAGTCGATTCTTATTCTTCTTGCAGCCACAGCTAAAGAGTCATTGCTGGTGCATTTTGTGGCCAAGGATTTTACTCCATTATGGGGTTCATAGAGGTTATTTATGTGGGAAAGGCAAGTTGATCAAGATTTTAGTTTGTTCAGCTTCCTCCTGTTTAGTGTCTAATGTGGGGGCTGAGGTGATTTTGCTAACATGTAAGAATACTTTCTTTTTTGTATTTGTGTAAACATGCAACAAGTTCTCCTTCCTCTCCCTGTCATAAATAGAGGTTATTGGGTAGTAGTGGCTGGTCATAAAAACTGTAAATTGCCTTTCATTTTTGGTAAAGAGGTATTTTCTTTCTGTAATGTGTCTTTATATATATATATAAAAGTTAACTGTTTTATACATGAATTGCATCTGATTGCTAGAAAGGGACTTGAAGCACTGATATTGCATGTTGATATTTAAGTTAGCCTGAGTGGATGAGATATTGTTTTCAAACTAACTTTTTTGCCTTTTTTTTTTTTTAAAAAAGACTCCAAATCTGAATCAGTAAAGTACACTGGCTATAACGTTGACTCCTCATTTATTATATTAGCATTATTTTTTATGTAAGCAAATTAGCTTATGTTTTACATATTAAAATTGTTTCTCATGTGGAAAATACATAGTTTTTATCAAAAGAATTTGCTTAGGTTTCACATCTATAAGAATTTGCCAAATATTGATTACTAAAACAATTTTTTCAAATCATTTAACATACTAAATTGTGTGCCCACAAAATTCAAATGTATTAAACGTCTTTTCACATAATCTTTTAAAGCAAGTGTTTATGAAGACTAGAACTGCTCTTAAGCGCAAGGACCGGTGGATAACAGTTTTATGTGGTAGTCCTGAATCTTGGTAGTCAAGTCTCTTAAATAATATTTTATTCAAATTCCTTTTCAGTTTAATTACTTATCTAGTGTTCGTAGTTATAACTTTTTTATTCTCTATGCTTAAAAATATCATCTTTTTAAATTGGTATATATAAGAACTTCAAAAAAATAATTTTTAACTAAAAATATTGTAACTAGATTTTAAATGAATAATTGACCTTTTTCTCAAACATTCACTATTTTGCGATCATAAAAAACCATTATAGAAAGCCATTATTAACATCTAACTATATTCTTGCACGCTAATTTGTTCTGTTTCACAACATTTAACTCTATGCATAGGCATAAATATTTGAACATACACCCAGTACAAAGATAAATAATACGTAATTACATACTTCTAGTAGATGATGAGTTTGGATATTACACATGGCTCCTGATGGAAGAGCTATAACCACTTTGAGCATCATAATACCTTGACAACAGCATAACACCTCCATATTTAGTAGAACCCTTAATGGCTGGAAGCACATTGGAAATAAGATCAGCAGAAGGAATGAAGCCGCTCCCTGCAGCCTGTGGGGAAGCTGATAGCCCCAAGAATATCTTGTTGGCAGGGATACCTGAAATCCACTGCTTCCATGCATCTTCAAGGTTACTAATTGCCCCAGAAGTGTATTGGCAAGGAGGGTTGTTGTAGAATTGGACCCAAACATAATCAAAAAGACCTGTGGTGAGAGCATTTCCTACCCAAGCATCAGGAAATGGGCACTGAGGAGCTGCAGTTATGTACACTTGCTTGCCTTGCTTGGCCATGCCATACCCTTTAAGGAACCTAGCAAGATCACCCCAATGTTGGTTGATCCACCTTCAATGTCAAAGTCAATGCCATCAAGAACAGCAGGGCCAAGAGGGCGAGATGAAGACTGTCCCCCCAAGAAGTTGTTCCAAAGGTAAGTGGCTATTTGGCTTGCGTCTTGAGTGGATGCAATTGAGTAGCTTCCAGCACCTCCTCCTAAGGAGAGCAACACCTTGATGCCTTTGGCTTGACACAATTTGATGTCTGAACTTAAGCCAGTGCAACCATTACTATTACTATATGGATCACAATGACCAGCAAGATTAATCATAGGAGTTTGGCCATTGCCAAAGGTTGGCAAAAAGGCTATAATCAAGTAGTCATAGTTCTCTGTCGCACAAGCCTCAGCCAGCGTGCCCTCGTTGCCATTCTGGCCCCAGTAGATTGCAATTTTGCCAGCACTAGAACCATTTGCTAGTGCTAACAAGACTAGGCACAGGAGTGTGACTGAGATTGCTGATTTCAATGCCATTGTGTATTGAATTGCCTGAAAAGATTTCTCTCAACCAGTTTAAGCTGCTACTTAGCCAAACAATGCTGGTGCATAATAAGCTTTTATAAAGGTAACATGACAATTAAACCTATAAAGTTTTGACCTTTTCTTCTTAGAGATAGTTACGTGGCAGTCACGAAGCTGATCCCATTTAAGCAACCACCAACTTACTATTCTATTTTGACATTTTTTATGTCTGTTCTGTTGAAATATTATTTGGTGCCATCCTTCTTTATGTAAGTTTTCCGTTGTACTATGCTTCAGTATAATTTCTCACGTTACTTAAAACGATAACAACGATTATAGTGGCTAAGTGAATACAGCGATAGAGAATTTTCATTTCATCGACTTTGATGGTTTAGAATTAAAAGTTTGTAATTGTCAGGAAAGTGTCCTTGTGGAACTTGCCATTTTCATGTTTGCTTTAATAATTTTTACAAATTATAATAATAAAATTACTACTACTACATTTCTTCAGCTTTATGAACTGAAATTTAAGAGGGTAACTTAGGAGGAGATAAGAGCACCAAAGAGAAAAGAAGATTTAGCCTCTTCATTTCCCTCACTGTTATTATATTAAGAGCAGACGAAAAACTAGGAGTAGTGTTGCCTGCGAGATATTATTAGTTATAATAATTTTGAAGCACTTGTTGGATTTGATAAAGACATATAGAGTTTAGAGAGTATTTTGTGGGTGTGTAGATAGATAGGTCATAGGCTTAGAATTTAATCTCTTGATAGTTCAATAGATCTTGTGATAAACGCCTTTAAATGATGCATCTCATTGAACTTATTTTACTGCATGAAAAACCAACCTTTTAGCATTAAAAGAACAAACTGAGTTTTTCAATCTGTTAAAAAGAAATTTCAATCTGTTAAAATCACTTAAAGCAGGAAATGTTTATATGTTGTCAAAATTTTTAATTGATTGAATCGCAGAATCAACAGGTTAAAATGTTCTTAATGATTTTTCCATATTAAAGGTTTTGCAATTTTAATCTGTTGAAATCAAGTTCAATCTGTTGAAACAGAAAGATTATTTTTTCATTCTAAGGTATCATAGGATTTCAATCTGTTGAAATCAGTTTTAATCAATTGAAACAGAGAGCTATTATCTTTTGCTAAACTGATTTAATCCATTGAAAGCTCGAAACAACCAATTGAATTAGTTTTAAATGAAATCAATCGATTGAAACGACATTTTAATCGATTGAAAAATATTCTGATCGATCACAACTCAATTCTGATCGATCATATCTGATTCTGAGCGATCACAACTCAATTCTGATCGATCATATCTTGTTCTGATCAGTCATAAAACTATTCTGATCGGTCATCTGCGACTCCAAGGCATTTTTATTAATTGATCTATCGGACTTCTCTCTTTTACTCTATAAATACAGTTTTGATTTCTCTTTTGAAATATACAATCTGAAAAACATTTGAAAGCAATCTTAGAGCTATCATATTAGTGCCTTTCTCTGTGCATTCATAAAACTTTTCATATCATAAGGCGTTTAGATCAAGATTGTTGAAAGTTCATCAAGAGAGAAAGTTCTGAGTGGGGAAATTGCTTCTGGACTTCTATATTGTTAAAGCTGCAGTCTAGGTTTATTCTTTTCATACTTGTACAAAGGTTAATTGTGTAGATTGGGTTTGAATCTTCACTGGTTACAGTAACTGGGTGGTTAATTCAAGAGTCTATCTTGTGGTGTTGTAAGATAGTTCTTGGGGTAGATTGGTGTATATCTACTGGTTTGTATTTTTCACTTGGAATTAGTGGAACTTGGCAGATTTATCAAGAACTGGACGTAGCTCTGGGAAAGAGTGAACCAGTATAAACTCGTGTGTTGAATTTCCGCTTTCATCTCTTTTTAATTCTTGCTTGTAGTATTGCTTTGTTTAAAATCAAATCTGCCTAACAAAAGATTGGATAAAGTTTAACCATTCTTCCAAAAGAAAGAGTGTTTTTCAAAAAGTTTTCAAAAGTTCAATTCACCCCCCCTCTTGAACTCAACCATTAATTCTTACAATTGGTACCAGAGCTGGTTCTTGTAAGTTACTCAAGAATTTTCTCCAAAGGTTTAAATGGCTGAGGGAAAAATGACTTTTTCGGAAGGAGCCTCTATTAATAGGCCTCCTCTATTTGCTGGTGTGAATTATTCTTTCTGGAAGGTTAGAATGAAAATCTTTATTGAATCTCTTGATAGGGGTATTTGGGATACAATTGTTAATGGGCCTTTCAAACCAACTCATACAGTAGATGGTAAAATTGTTGAAAAAGACTGGGCTGAATTAACTGATGCAGAAAATAGGAAAGTACAATATGATTATACTGCTAAGAATATTATTACCTCTGCCTTAAATCTTGATGAGTTTTTCAGGGTTTCTCAATGTGCCTCTGCCAAATAAATGTGGGAGATTCTAGAGGTCACTCATGAGGGTACCTCTGATGTGAAAAGGGCAAGAAAGCATGAGTTAATTAGGGACTATGAATTGTTCAAAATGCAGCAAGGTGAAACCATTGCGGATGTGCGAAAAAGATTCACGCATATAGTCAATCATCTAATTGGATTAGGCAAGACATTTGACAAGGAAGAGTTAAACATCAAGATTCTAAAATGTCTAGACAGAACTTGGCAACCAAAGGTGACAACTATATCGGAATCTAGAGACTTAACCGAGATGACTACTGCATCATTGTTTGGTAAGCTAAGGGAACACGAGTTGGAGATCAATAGGTTTAGAGAACAAGAAAATGCAGAAAAGAAAAGCGTAAACATTGTTCTCAAGACAATTGAAGAAAGTAGCAATTCGAAGAAGATGAATCTGAGAATCGACTCTGTTGGTTAAGAAGTTTGGGAAATTTCTTAGAAAGAAGAAACGAACTAGCCAGGTTAAAAGGTACATCGATAAAAGAACTGAATCTACTCAAAATACTTTTACTTGTTATTCTTGTGGTAAGCGGGGACACATAAGGAGTGAATGTCCAGAAAAATCCAAGAATCAAAACAAGAAAGAGTTTAAGTACAAAGGGAAAAAGGCCTACATAGCTTGGCAAGACAATGATTCATCCTCTAGTTCACGTATCCGAAAGTGAAGAAGTGAATCTATGCTTAATGGTCGGTCGTGAATCCTCTTCATCGCATGTAAGTTCAACCCCCACGGAAAATGAAATGAATTACAACGACGTTATTAAATGCTTTCAATGAAATGCATAATGAAGCTAGGAATTTATCTCATACAAATAATCGGTTAAAAGGACTAAATAACTGGTTAGAGAATAGGGTTAAAATCCTAGAAGGAGAATTACTAGAAAGTAAGACAGATATGGAACATCTTGAGATAATCTACAATAATTCATCTACTGGTAATGCTGCTGCTAACAACAAGTGTGAAAAGTGTATCTCTTTGCAGAATAAGGTTGAGTATTTGATTAAAACTCTGTCTAAGTTTACTCAAGGCAAAGAAAACTTAGATACACTTCTTGGGTCCCAAAACTGTGTTTTTGACCATAATGGAATTGGGTACAAACCTAAGGTTAGAATTAAAACTAAAAGATATTTGAATTTCTTTTCTTTTAGAAAACCAACAACATCTCCTTTCTCATCTTGTCATTATTGTATGAAAAAAGGGCATACTATAAAATTTTGTCATATTATAAAACACTTTGTGCCACGGGGTAAAATGAGATGGGTTCCAAAATATGTGAAACAGAAAATTTGACCACTAAGGACCCAAAGTAATTAAGGGTACCAAATACTTGATGTTTGATTTTTCAGGAACAACAGCAAGAATCACTTTGGTACTTGGACAGTGGATGCTCAAGGCATATGACAGGTGATATTTCAAAATTCTAGAAACTGAGATTGAAGAATGGAGGACACGTGACATATGGAGACAACAACAAGGGAAGAATCTTAGGTTCTGGAGATATAGGAGATGGTGAAACCGTGATTATTCACAATGTTCTTCTTGTTGAAGGTCTCAAGCACAATTTAATCAGTATAAGTCAATTATGTGATCTAGGTCACAAGGTTATCTTCAAACCAGAAATCTGCCTAATCTGTGAGCCAAAATCTGACACGGTAATGTTGGTAGGTAAGAGGTTAAATAACATTTACATGCTAGATATCAAACATTCTATCTCATCTCAAAGTTGTCTTCTTACTAAAGAAGAAGAATCTTGGTTATGACATAGAAGGCTTACACATATTCATCTTAATCATCTTGACAAACTGATTTCTAAAGATTTAGTCTCTGGGCTACCTAAGCTTCAAATTCTGAAAGACAAAATCTGTGAAGCTTGTTTAAAAGGTAAACAAACTAGAAAATCCTTTTCAAACAAAAACATTTTTTCTACTTCTAGACCTTTGGAACTGCTTCACATGGATTTGGTTGGTCCTTCAAGAAATAAAAGCCTAGGTGGTAATCTCTATATCATGGTAATTGTTGATGATTTTTTCAGATTTACTTGGACTATATTTCTAAAAGCCAAATCTGATTCTTTCAAATCTTTTAAAAATCTTGCCAAGGTTCTACATAATGAGAAAAATTATGTCATTACTTCTATTCAAAGTGACAATGGTGGAGAATTTGTAAATGAAAAGTTTGATAAAACACAACTTTTCTGCTCCGAGAACTCCTCAACAAAATGGTGTTGTGGAAAGAAAGAACAGATCCATTGTGGAACTTGCTAGAACAATGCTTTGTGAAAATGCTTTACCTAAATACTTCTGGGCAGATGCTGTAAACACTTCTTGCCATGTTTTAAATAGAGTTTTGATTAGACCAATCCTTAAGAAAACCCCATATGAACTTTACAAAGGAAGGAAACCCAACATAAACTATTTCAGGGTTTTTGGATGTACATGTTTTGTTTTAAACAATGGGAAAGAAAATATTGGCAAGTTTGATGAAAAATCTGATAAAGGGATCTTTCTTGGCTATTCTTCTAACAGTCATGCATATAAAGTCTA